TCCTACTACCATGGTTTAGTCTGCTCTCTTGCACCATTTCCTTATCACAACTGTGTTTATGTGTATCACTATGTCACATAAGATATTGATTCATCTGCAGACAGGTTTAGGATTACTCCTCTTTGTTTACTTCACTATTGATATTTATTTGTTCTTTCCTTCTAAGGGCAAAGCAAGTTCTATGGTGGCCGTTGCCCTGTGCCCTCAGCCAGGATGGGAGGTTTGTATTTTTATATAACCACCGAACTGGTGAATATTTATTGTATTTGTGCGTTGCTACCTTGTTTTTCTAGTTCTAGAAAACATATTAATGCATTATGTATACACTAACCTATCTGTGCCGATGAATTGTTAAAAATTCAACCTGGCTATTTATGCAGACATGTTTGATCTGTTTATTGAAAACCATCCAGATTGGTCATAATTGTCCCATAGTATTTTGAACCTCCATGCTACTGCTAAATGTTAAAAGATAATTTCTAATATTTATATTTATTGTAGAGATGAATCATGTCTGTTTAGAAATATACCTTCTCAAAATACTTGTGATAACGTTATCCATATTACTCTCTGCTAAGATTGCCGGAGATGCATATTCAACTATAAGGGACGCAATTATTTTAGTAAATTTCTTTATGTCAAAAATAATTTCAATGTGAGAGCATAAAACCTGAACAAACTATCCTTTTATTCTATAGGGACTAGAGACAAATAAGGATTTTATCATCTATTAGTTTGGTTATAGGTTTTAGAATAAAATGCACATGCCTAATGCACAAAACTTATAATTTCCAAAAAAAACTTAAATTTCATACTTTTACATTATTTTGCTTTTTTCACACATGCTACTATTTTTCCTGAAGAAACTTATAATTTTTATTTGTATTTCTTTGGTTATGCAATTATATGGCCCCAAATCCTATGTTCATGGCATTGTATGGTATAGACCATGGAATATTCTAGAAAACAAAAAAGAAAGAGAAGGGAAAAGAAAGAGAAAATTGCTTGTATGATATGACATATTCTAGAAACAAAAAAGAAAATACGAAGGAAAACAAAGAGAAATGTCTCTTGTTAAATTACTCTTTTGCCCTCCCAGTTATAGTAGAAATGAGCACGTCTTCCTTTCATTCATTTTTTGACTATCCTCATAATGTTAGTTATATAGTAGTATAGATGGCATCCTTCTGTTGCCTCTGATGCTTTTGGACGTGCATACTATTTATATAGCATTTGCCCTAATATGTTGTTTTTCTTGATTATTTGATAAGGTTCTAGATGCCTGTGCTGCTCCTGGAAATAAAACTGTTCACCTTGCTGCACTAATGAAAGGAATGGGAAATATTATAGCATGTGAACTTCACAAGGAAAGGGCTAGACTTCTAGAAGATACTATCAGGCGGACTGGAGCTCCTAGTATCCTTTCATTGTTTTCCCCCCTTGATATTGTCAACAAATTTTGTGAAAACATGCTCCTGTTTGAGTTAGCGTTAGATACTCTAACCTCGTATGCTTTGCTATGCTATTCATTTTTTCTATCGTGGACGCTGCTAGTAGAATAAAATAATTAATAATGGTGCTAGATTGTCAGATGACGCTTTTCTGTGTCCGTATATAGCTTTGTTTTTAATGAAAAAGAAGAAAGACAGTTCTTGTGACGCTAAACTTTTGCCTACCATTAAATTTCTGGCAGTAACATGTTGCTGTAAAGCTGCTGGAATGAGGTCTGTCGTGTCAAGTCTATTACTAAGAGAAATAGATTTTCTTTTCCTTCTTGTAATACATTAATATGTGATTTCTCCTTGTTGGCTGTATTCATTATATGTTATGAAGGTTTGTTGCCGTAAAGAAACTTCACAAGTTACCAGCAAGTATAGGTGCTGGTTGTGGAAACCATATTCAGACAATTGTTATTGTTTTGTGATAAATATAAGACTTTCTGAAGGTCTTTGGCTTGCGCATCATTAGTGTACTACTCAATTAGATATTCCACTTCCCACACAAATGTGCTAATCCTACAAGTAAAAATTGTGTGAGTATACTTTGTGACTGAAACAAAATGTGTTGTTTTACACTTATTGTCTCACCTTAACTGGAGTTACAGATGTGAACATATTTCAAGGTGATTTTTTAGATTTAGATGCCAGGGATCCCAAGTTTTCAAAGGTAAGATCCCTCTTTTCTGATTTATTTTAGAATATATTAGTAAATCTTTTTTCCCCTTTGCTTTTCTGTGAGATATTCTCCCAAGTACAACATAATATTAGTACTTGTAGTTGTAGGCGTTTACTGCAAGTTATGGCAGAAAATTGCATCCAAGCATCCTACTAACGTTCTATCAGATGATATGAATATAATGATTCAAATTTTTTTGTAACAGTCATCTTCAATGTCAACCAGTGTGGGTGATTGATAAAATTTGAAAGTTTTTATACTGAACAAGGAAAAAGTAAAAGTCTGTCTCCAACATAAGACAAAAAAAGTGTGGATATATTCAGCTAGACCACCAGATGCTAAAACCACTAACAATTTTTATGAAGATAGCATAGGCTGTATTGAACATGAAGTCACAAAGATGTAGCATGCCCTATCTGAAAGGTGGTTAATTCTGATTTGTTGATGGACCGCTAGGAGGTTCTTTGTCTTAGTGTAGTATTCAGCTTCTTGTGCAGTTGGTTCCAAGAGCAAGAGTAGAGTAGAATGGAGTTGAATTCTAGCTTTTGACTGCAACTGAACCACTACTTACCGGGTGACATTTTATTGGCGAGCATACATGTATTGCGTTCATAAGCTATCACTATGCACAGTAAAATTTCTGTTGATTTGGAAAATTCCTGCAAAATCTTCAGTGTTATACAACATGCTCTTTCAAGCTTAGAAAGTCCAGCCTAGTCAGCCATTTAAATCAGTATGTTTTTCTTGAATAGAGACCATGTGGTTAATCCTTAAAGTTTGTGTTGATTAATATCAACACTAGCTGAATCTTCTCTTAAATGGAAAATAGGATCAATGTCATATTTCATGCATGTTGATATTCAATTCGGGAAGTTTATTATTTGACATTGCTTATTTACTAATATGTATACTACAGTTCTCATTACAATGCGCATGCAGATCCGTGCTATTCTCTTGGATCCTTCTTGCTCAGGGTCTGGAATTGCCAGAGAAAGATTAGACTATTTGCTCCCTTCATTCAAGAAAGGTGATTCTTGCAGAATTTTTATTCGCAATCTAAATCAAATTCCTTTCCTAATAATTTATCTTTTTATCTCTTAAATGTCAATCACAACATTCAGTTAACACCTAAATGGAGTCAACTTAGAAGTAAAAACTTCGCAAATGACTTTTTTTCTTAATATAATTAAGGAATCGGAATAATATCTCACACACAGAGGGATGGAGGAAGTATTCTAACTTATACTTATTTTAAAAGCGGAGGGTGGCAAGGTGTTTAATTCTATGGCAGAGCCTGCTTTATAGTATTTCTATTTTGCCGAGGCATGTTGAAAATTTTCTGTTCTTCACGGGGTTGTTGAAACTTGAAAGCACATTCTCGTCAAGAAAAAAATTTATCGCACAATTATTAAAAATCAGATATGCTGCCCCTGCTGTTTGTCTCTAGTTTCCCAAGCGCAGTGAATATTAGTATCACATGCTTTGCACTGATAAACAACTGGGAAAAGTAGCACGCTAATAAGCAAATACTTGTAACTTCACAATTAGTTGTTTGATAAGCTTGCAAAGTATTGAAGCAAATATTTGTAACTTCACAATTAGTTGTTTGATAAGCTTGCAAAGTATTGACTCACTTTGAAGTAGTTAGTAGATAGTTTTGTTCATAGAGTCATGAAAAGAGCCAGAATTCTCAGCCAGTTGGGACACAATAATATGCTTTTCATCATCATAACACGTGGGGGGAACTCAGAGACAATTTTCCAGCCATGCACACGTTGGAAAACTCTAAAACGAAGAACTTGCCTGATTTTAAAGTAGAGCATATGGCCTATCTCAAACGATCAGCCGTGCCTATGGTTGTAGTTTTTTGTGGCCCCTCCTGTAACAAAGAACTTGCCTGATTTAAAGTAGAGCATGTAGCCTATCTCAAGTGATCAACCTTTTGCCTATGGTTAGTATGTGTATGTACGCCCTCCTGTAAGTCACTTTTCTTACTTGTACTAAACAGGGGAAGACGGTGATGCTGCTAATTCTCAGAGAGTAAGGAATCTTGCTGCTTTCCAAACAAAAGCTCTTCTTCACGCCTTATCATGTAAGTGAGCTTCCTGTAACCCATGTCCTAATTGTTTGTTCTACGATATTTTACTGATCCACATACTATTGCTATTCCAAATGCTACCTCCGGAAGTGATCCCTTTTAAAATTTCTGAAACAAATCATTCCTGGTGATGCATTATGCTATGGAACACTTCATTTCTCTAGCCGTTACTTTTAGCTTCATTATCATGTATCATGTGAGAAATGCCAGTGTAATTGGACGTTTTTGCACAGTTGCAAGAAGCTTCCTTTGCACGTATGTGTAGCAGCAGTGAAGAAACCTTTGAAGTATGGCCGCTTATAAACAGATTTTTGGCTCCAACCCATAAAAAAAGAGAAATGTATCAACCGATAATGGGTCTTCAGTAGCTATTTTGCTGATTTTAGCCAATCTTGTAACCATTTCGTTCTTCTAAATCATGCACACTTAAGTATTTGAATATCCAAACATCTACTGTTCCAGATAGCTAATCATATTTGAATATCCAAACGTCTACCATTCCAGATAGCTAATCAGTTTCTTCTTTGAAACTTTGTTGTAGTTCCCGCAGTTGAGAGAGTTGTATACAGCACATGTTCAATTCATCAAGCAGAAAATGAAGACGTCATCAGTTCAGTTCTCCCCTTTGCCACCTCTATCGGTTTTGAACTGGCAACTCCTTTCCCGCAGTGGCCTCATCGTGGCCTCCCTGTCTTCAACGGTGGTAAGTTCTTCAAATTATAGCCGTCAAAACAATCTTGAAAATTCCCATGATCTTTTAATCAGTAACCGGGGCTCTTGCTTTCTGTCTCAGCTGAACATTTGCTAAGAACAGATCCAACCGAAGAAACGGAAGGATTCTTTATTGCACTATTTGCTAGGAAAAGTGAGACGAATAAATCTGAGGAAGCACCTGAAGAATCACACATTCAGAAGTTACCTCATCCCTCTACAAAAAAGATTTGCAGAATGCGGAAGCCGACTCCATTCCTTCCACTAAGAAAGATGTTGCAATATAATGCCATCCCACTCCTGAGACATAATAGAAAAAGAAAAAGAATATGACTGTGACGTCTAAATTATGAAATTTTGGTTAACGCTAACCATGAACGCTTCCGCCTGTTCTGTGTTTATTGTTGTATGTTTTTTTATCATGCATCACGGACATATCTCTTTTTGTTGTACGCTTCTGCTACAGTTAATATGGTATCATCGTCTTTTTCATTTTTCTCCTTTGTAATTTCTTGTTGCGTGCTTTTTTTTAATCCTGCGTACTGTTAATAGGATGATGAAGATGTTTATTTTACATCTATTCCCTTTGTATTCAGTGGACCGCTATGACATATGCAAGAGCAGTGGAACATTTTGCCTTCAACAACGGCATTCCAGGTGCATGTTAAATGACTCCCCAATTTCCATAAGCAGGTACGTGTTATTTAACTCCTCAATTTCCACCTACTTTTTCATGGAGATTTATTACCTGCAATACTCCCAAAGTTCGGTGGGAATTCAGAAATTAAAGTTCTTACTTATCGTTGCACGTGATTAGTCATCGTCCAAACTTAAAATGAACATCAGAGGGTATAAATACACACAAAAGCAAAGACCGGTGTAATACCCACAGATGCTCATCAGACACAAGGCATTACTTTATTCGCATACAAAACGATGGCATTTAACAGCACATTAGCACATCGAACTGCTCACACCGAGTGACATTCAAACATTAGCAACAGAACACATAACAAAACATGGAAAAGAACACAAACTAAACTTCAGGCTCAGGCGACCTTGACTTGGACGGTCTTGGGCTTCTTGGGCTCCGGCGGCGGCTTCTTCATCACCGTCACGGTCAGCACCCCGTCCCTGCACTCCGCTGTAACCTTATCGAGGTCAGCGTTCTCCGGCAGCGAGAACTTCCTCATGAACTTCCCCATCCTCCTCTCCATCCGCAGGTACCTGCCTTCCTCCCTCTCCCCCTGCTCCTCCCCCCTCCTCCTCTCCCCGCTTATGACCAGCACGTTGTCGTCCTCGATCTGCACCTTGATCTCCCCCGAGCTGACGCCGGGCATGTCGACCACGAAGGTGTACGCGGTGGGCAGCTCCTTGACGTCGGCCGGGGTGGACGCCATCGCACGGGCGTCGCGCACGTAGGTCCCGGTCGGGGTGGTGCGGGATTTCTCGGCCTCGTCGGGGATGTCGCCGACGAGGTGGTGGAGGGTCGAGAGGAGGGGGTTCTCGAAGCCGAACATTCGGACGTCCATTGGTGGAAAGGGTTTGTTGAATTGAGAGCCGCTGGATCTTTTTCGGGGGTTATTTGTTTCAGATGTCGGTGGGAAGGAGGAGCGGGGCTGAGGGGTTTTATAGGTGGAAACGCTGCTTCTGCAATGTTCTGGAGAGGTTCGAAAGAGGCGGGCATGTGGTCGCCCACTCCGGCTTTGAAATGATTAGTGGGTCGGGACTGGGCTGGGCTCGAGAGAGGCCTCTCGTTGCAGTAATGTTATTGGGGGCGTTGCATCTGTTAATAAAGTCTTGAAGTCTTGAATTTGGGTAGAACTCTTTTATTTATTCTCTCTGCCTAGTGAGAAGGAGAGACCTGTTTAAGTGAGCTCATATCGAGAGAGAATGTCCCAAGTTTTGAAGTCTAGCATTCCTAGAAGCCATCAAGGGTGTTACCATCTCAGACCCAATTAAAGACAATACTTCACTTGAAAGGATATCCCGTCCCAAACTTCTCTCAGACCCAATCCAACCTAGCCCATGGTGGTTCGAGTCGCGGGTCGGCCTGAACTCCTTGTTTGTTTTCAATTTTATTTCTTTTTGTTTATTTTTTTTCTTTTTAAATTTTTTACTAGATTAGTATGCATAGTTTAAAGAGGAAAACTGTGCTTCATCTTTCTGAAAAATCTAAATCCTATAAATTTATAATTTGTGATAGAATTATCTTAAGGATAAGAGATTCACAATAATTTGAGTGTTTTTAATAAATCAAAATGACTAAAAATATTCATCAAAATACTAAATAGTGTTTAGAAAATATCTAATTACTACTAAATTATAACTCAGAACACCTGAAGGTTATAATTTTAATTGAGCTGCTACTAAAATTATATCAAAATATAATTATCGCCTAAGGCGGGCCAGCCCTCTACCCGCGGATATCAGAGGCCCATTTGGGCCCACCTTAATGTGAGTTAGGTTTTGTTGATGGCTGATATCAAATAGTCAATGAAAGAAGCGATTAAGTTGACGGAGGTCCTCTAACCCTCTGGATGTCTGGTTATCTTTGAATGTCCGGTTCTAGAGTAGGTTGTTCTTTCCTGCACAAATAGCAAATTGTAAGAGGGCGAAGTTGGGTTCCTCGTTTGTTCCTCCGACGATCAAGTCAATGATTTGTTTGAGTGGAGAAGTAAAATGAACATCGTAGTTCTTAAGCACTGGGTAGAGGTAAAAATATTGCCTTATCATTGAAAATAATACCCCTATTTATATTGGTGGTAGAATGGTAGAATGGTAACTTTGGCCGAGTATGGGATGTCGGCCACGTAAGCCTCTGCTTTACAGGTGTCGGTCGACGAGTGGAGGAGAGGTCACTTCGGTATTTGATGCGAAGTGATTGGGGGTACATGGTGTTGACGTGGTCCGATATGTCATAAAGACTATTAGGAGCAGAGGAATGATGACACCCATAATACATTTAATGACATTTATTGTTGTAATGACCGTGAACTTTCGATACTAGTTAAAATAATTTTTTAATATTTTAAAATATTAATTATTATTTTTAAAAGAGTATCTGTATTTTTCTCGATTTTCTAGAATTTTTATGATTTAAAGTCCAAATTTTATATTTATTTAAATAATTTTAATATTTATAAATTGATTTTATGCAGTAAAAATCTTTAGAATTAATTTATTGTGTTATCGATACTATTACGTATCATTTTAAATAATAAGTTGTATTATTGTTACTATTACGTATGATTTTGTGTATTATGTTGTATTATTAATTACGTATTATTTGTATAATTTGTTGTATGCGTATCAACTGTTGTAATAGCACAACTGGTACGTTTTATTGTATATAGATAATTTTCCCATAATTATTTGATTTTAAATGTAAGTAATTATATTTTTTATTAATTATTCTCGTTTAATTGTACAATTAGTTGTATTATTTCTACTGTTGCATATTATCTGTCGTATTAGTATAACTAGTACGTTTTAATGTGTAGATAATTTTCATATAATTATTTAATTTATTTTGTAATTAATAATTATTTGATTTTAAATGTAAGTAATTATATTTTTTATTAATTATTCTCGTTTAATTGTACAATTAGTTGTATTATTTCTACTGTTGCATATTATCTGTCGTATTAGTATAACTAGTACGTTTTAATGTGTAGATAATTTTCATATAATTATTTAATTTATTTTGTAATTAGT